CTGATGTGGGCTTAGTGAATATCTTTTCCCATTCTGTAGGTTGTTGTTTTGTCTTGTTGACCATGTTCTTTGCTTTATAGGAGCTTTTCAGTTTCAGGAGTCCCATTTATTAATTGTTTCTCTCAGTGTCTGTGTTACTTGGGTTCTATTTAGGAACTGGTCTCCTGTGCCAATGTGTTCAAGTGTATTTCCCATTTTCTCTTCTATAAGGTTCAGTGTGGCTGGCTTTATGTTGAGTTCTTCGATCCATTTGGACTTGAGTTTTGTGCATGGTGATAGATATGGGTCTATTTTCATTCTTCTACATGTTGATACCCAGTTATGCCAGCACCATTTGTTAAATATGCTTTTTTCCCATTTGATTTTTTTTTTTTTTTGGTTTTTCGAGACAGGGTTTCTCTGTGGCTTTGGAGCCTGTCCTGGAACTAGCTTTGTAGACCAGGCTGGTCTCGAACTCACAGAGATCCGCCTGCCTCTGCCTCCCGAGTGCTGGGATTAAAGGCGTGCGCCACCATCGCCCGGCCCATTTGATATTTTTTAGAAAGCAATTTCTCATTTAAAAAGAAAATTAGCCCCAAATGATGGTTCCCATTTCTGAGTCTCCTTCACTAAACTTATCCATTCCTCAGCCCTACCCAGCTTCTGCCCCCATCCCCATCACAGCTCTCCCAGGGATGAGGATCTGGGTTCCCTTCTACTCTGCCTCCCTGCTCCCCTCAAGGCCTTTTTTTGAGTCTCCACAATGAAGACTTAGACTCTTGGGTGGCAGGAGCTCAGCCAGGACAGAGTGCAGCCAGCTGGGTCTCTCCATAGACGAGCCAAATGCCAAGTGTGTTTCTTCCCTTGTAACAAGATGGCCCAGCTTGGGAAGAAATCAAATATGTGAACATTCTAGATGACCCTGAGGGATTCGTATCAATAACGATCACCAGAGTCATCGTGGAGCTGCCTTGGTGGGACGCTTGTACCAGCCTGAGGTTCTGACGGCATTTCATCCTGGATGGTACTATCTAGATTTTGACTTCTGATTCCTCAAAGTCCCCTAGAATCCCCCAAGAACATGTCACAGCAAAGGATGTCATTGTAGAGTTCTCAGAAGCAAGGGTTGAAAACTTCAAGAACAAAGGGCTATTTGTGGGCTAAAAGCGTGCCGGGCTTCTTAGCATGAACAGATTAAAGTGAGGACACAGACACAAGCCCAGGGAGGACTTGACTAGCTCATTTGAAGAAAGGGGAAGTTTTGCTATCACACCCCTGGTCCCTGCTAGCTTCACTTGGAGATTCATTCCTTTTGCGAGTCCAACCTGAGCATCTGCTGTGCTTTGGGATGGGAGGAGCTCACTCACACTCAAGTAGAGGAGGGGAACCAAAGGAATATAATACGTAAAATGCAGAGCCTATTCCCAGAAGCCATGAACATGATGTGCGGTGCCCCAGTCAATGAATTTGAGAGTGCATTGTTCAAAATATATGGCACATGTGTTTATATGCATATAAAGAGTTTCAAGACAGAAACAAACCAATACAGGGTTCTAGACACAAGGCCCATGTAATTGTCCAGCTCACAAAGCTGATTGAAGCCAGCCTTGCAAGCCACATAGAGACAAATGCACAGGAAGAAAATAAATGTAAAACGTGGGCTTTCTGGGTCTTAACTGGCTCAACAGTTAAGAGAGCTTGCCGAGGACTGGGTTCAGTTCCCAGAACCCATATCTGGAGACTCACAACTACCTGTAAGTCCTGCTCCAGGATCCAGTGCCCCATTCTGGCCTCTGTAGTCTGCAGGCACACACACACACCAAACACTTTATTTAATGGGCTCCTTTTTCCAGGGAAATGCAGTTAGCTATTATACAGGGTAAACGAGGAAGGTCTTAGTAACACTGAATAAATACATCTGAAGGAGAGAAAGGAAGAAATGTCATCTAGCAAATCACAAATCAATGATACATAGTAAGGAAAGATGCCTGAGGAGAGGAACCAGCAGGCACAAAGGTCCTGAGGTAGTGTTTCAGACCAGCACAGAGGCCACTGTGTCTAGAGCGAAGCCAGAAATGCAGGGATGAGACTACAGGGGTAGCAGTGTCAAGGAATAGTCGTGTGAGAAGGATGTTAGCTTTGACTCCACACGAGGTGACAGCCACTGCCACGTGTGTCTAGCCCATTCCCTGCAGGCTGAATGCTGCTAAGGATGGCTATAAAAGACACTCAACATCAAACTGTGAACTTACTCAAAATACTATGAAATTGGTCTTTTTGTAACCCAGTCACACCATTCTCAAGCGCGAACTTTGCAGATGACAACATTGTGTCACAATGTCAAAATGCTGGACACCCCTGCTAAAGGAACTTCCAGAAAGGTGGCCCTGCCTGACTCACGTTTTAGCATTGCTCTGTCACGTCATGAATTAAGAACTGAATGAAGGAGTGTAGGGGAGGAGGGACGATGGGAAGAGGATAAATTCAGACAGAATGACAAGTCAGGCAGCTGCCACCATCCAGGCAGGACTCAGGGGGCAGCCATCATAGTGGTACCGGCTGGGGGACACCTTCTAGAAGGGCAGACGGCTGGCTCTGCTGACTACTGGGAATCTGGGCGTGAACGGGGAGGGAAATGAGGATCCAAGTCTTTCAACCTGATCTGCAGAGAGGAATGGAAATATGGGTTTTCTAGGAAGCAGAGGGTGGGAGTAGGGTGCCCATCTGAGATGCCCTCAGAGAGGTGTCAGGTTGGAAGGGAAGGAAGGTCCCCCAAGCATCGCTGAAGTGGGGAGTGTGAGACAAGCCTCTGGGGGGGCTCTGTAGGATTGGAAGAAAGTCTGAACGGCTTTTCTTTTTTTAATTTTTAAAATTACATTTATTTATTATTTTACGTGTGTGTGCATGCATAAATGCTCCCATGCACACGTGTGTGTGTGTGTGTGTGTGTGTGTGTGTGTGTGTGTGTGTAGCATTGTGTGTGTCTGCACGTGTGGGCATGCCTTGGCATATGTATAGAAGTTGGTTCTCTCCTTCCACTGGGGTGGGCCCCAGAGATCAAACTTGGGTCATCAGGCTTGGTGGTAGACACCCTTACCCTCTAAGCCATCTCTCTGGACCCTTGAATCGTCCTTCTTAGTGAATCTTCTAGTTACATGGACCCTGAAGACAGAGAGGACCCCATATGGGAAACAGTGTTATTATTGGGATAGAGGAGTTGGAGAAAAGGGACAGTTTGGGGACAAAACTTGTTGGGTGAGATGCAGTGGGTATCAGAGAGAAAAGGGAAACCATGATCTTCTATTTGAATCTTCAGGGACTTCAGTAGTGCTGTTCACTGACAAGTCAAAAGAAAAGTCATGCTGTTAGGTCCAGCAAGGGCAGATGGAGGAGTGTGCACCAGGAGACCCAGAGAGAAGGGGAGAGGCGAGAAGTGGGAAGCAGCCTGTGGTTCAAGGCAGAGAGACATACACCTCCTCCATGTGTGCTTGTCGGGTGTTCTGAATAAGGGGTGAAATCTGAATGGTCTCAGGACAAACAGACTTCTCAGGGGGAACATGGTGAAGAACAGCCATTTATATCATGTTCTGAGAGCAGCCTTTGCCTAGTGCAGGCCACGCCACCCAACTCTGAGTGACCCCTTCCGCCTGGAAAGATGACCAGCACCAAGGCTGACTTTCTCAGTTGCTCAACTTGGAAATTTTCTTTTTCATTTTGTGATAGGCTTGTTGGACACTTGCCACAAATAGGCGGGTTGTCTTACAAAGGCCTGGACTTCTGCCGGGCGAGGGCTTGCAGAATTTCTCAGGCTGAGAGCAGGGATGTGCTGGTAGGAGAGCTGGATGAAGCTGTCATGCGGTGCAGCTGACGTGCGGCCTAATGAGAGGTGTGTGCCACAGAGACTGCTCTCCCGGCTCTCGCCTCATCCAACGAGGATCTTATGTTTATCTCAGAGTCATCCAGTCACTTAGTGGTTCTCAATCTCCACTGTGTGCCTCAGTTCTGAGGACAGAGCAGGAAGCCACAGTGGGTCCAGTTACGTGCATGCTGCGCACACAGATGTACACACACACACACACACACACACACACATGCAACTACATCAGGTGCTGACCAATGTCAATGAAACACAAAGAGAGTTGGGAAGATGTGCAGCTGGAGGGTTAGCCATACCAGAAGAAGAGGGATGGTAACTAAGTCACAGATGCGCAAGAAAAGAGTGGTCAAAATTGAGGGAACCATGTGTGCAAAGGTTCTGAGGCAGGAGAACAAACAGAGATCAGTAAGGACCAAGCAGGAAGGCAAAGTGATGAAAAGAAACCTGGAGTGGATGCCATCAGATCTGCATTGTAAGCGTTCTTTTTGGCTCTGGTGCCAATAATGGGATGGAAATAAGCAAGAGGGATTAAAAGTGGGTCTTTGAGGAAGTCGCTACCACCCTCCAGACGAGAGATAAAGGTGGCTTCACTAAGATGATAACAGGAAGCAGAAGGCTTTGGAATCAATACTCCCAAACACAGCCACATACACGTGAGATCCAGAGGACCGAACACCAAGACGCACAAGAATCAGTCCACTGACCCATCACTGGCAGCGTGGTTCACCCACTAGGAACAGAGGCCCTTCACAGCAGCTCAGAGCCAACTGAAACCTGATGGGGATTTGAGAGAACCCCTGCCTGCCCCTGGCAGCAGACCAGTGCAGCCAGCCTGTGCAAAACTCTAAAACCAGAAGCCCCATCCCTCCAGCACACTCATGCCTCTCCTCCTTTGTTCTTTATTATTTGAGAGAACTCAACGTGTCAGACATAGCAGGACATCCAGGGCTGCAGCCGGAAATAGGGGTGAGGGGAAAGGCCGGCAGCAAAGTAGGTGGTTTGGGAATGCATGGCCTGACTGAGCCTCGGGGCACCTGTGGAAGATAAGAAAATGGCTGTGTTTCAGGTTTTCACAGAAAACAAGCAAATATCTACTCAACTTTCCAGATTGAAATAGGCTTCTTTAATTTACTAAAATGCACACACGTGTGCGCACGTGCACACACTACTGATTTACTGATTGCCAATCCATTTGTCTGCAGATGATTGCTAAGACGTGGCCGCAGCACTGCTGATGGCAGAGGCTCATGTTCTTAGCTCACTCGGATTCAACTCATTGTGCAGGCTGCTCATGAGCCTGACGTCTCCCTCTGTCATTGGAAAGTTGAATTCCAGTGCATGTTGTCTTCAGCATGCTGCGCCCAATGTCCTTATTTCAGATTTGAGTCAGGAAACACACTTGCAAGGAAAAGTCGTGTACACTGGCTGCAGTCAATCATACCTGGTAAACAGAGATTCTCTACTTTAGAAAATGGCTAAATCTGGGGTCAGGAAAAGATGACTTGGTGGGGAAAGTACTTGGTGTGCAGAGATGAGGTCCTGTGTTTGTATCCCTAGCTGAAATCGTGGCAATTGTGCCTGTGACCTCAGCATTGTGGCGCGGCGACAGGAGGGTTCCTGCAGCTTGCTGCCCAGCCAGTCTAGCCAAGTTGGTGAGCTCCAGGTTCAGCAAGGTCTGTTTCCGAAAACAGCAAAATCGAGAGTGGTTGGGAAGATGGCCGATGCCAACTGCTAGTTCACACACACATACAAACTCACTCGTCTGGATGCACACATGTACACATATTCTATAAACAGACACACATCTCACACACACACAAATAGTGAAGTGAAGGCAGACAGTGAAAAGAAGGTGACTATGTGACCATGGCAAAACCTCTCCCAGATGTGACAGTCGTTTCACGCAAAATCAAGCCAAGTAAAATTGTCTCTTTTTGAGACAGTTTCACTATGGAGCCCAGGCTGGCCTCAGGTGCATGAAAACCCTGTCTCTCTGCCTTCTAGATGCCTGGATCGCAAGCAGCTCACTGTGGCCAGCTTTTTGGATGGTCTTTTCTTTCCTGAGAAGCCCAACATGTAACTTTAAAGTTTTTAAATAATATTTTTGTGATTATAAAGGAATTATATCATTTCCCATTTCCCTTTCCTCTCACCAAACCCTCCTATGTGACCCCCTGGCTCTCTTTCAACTGTGGCCTCTTTTTCTTCAGTTGTTTATATATACATAAGCACAGTCTGTATAAGGCTGCTTTGTGTGTGTGTTTTCAGGGCTGACCATTGGTACTGGATAGCTGGTTGTGCTCTTCCCTGGGGAAGATGGTTTCTTCTTCTCTCGGGATTCCTTAGCTGCCTGTCATTCTTTGTCTGGGCTTGAGGCCTCGTGAGCTCTGTCCTGTCCATGCCCTATCATGGTCCTCATTCAGCTCATGTGTAGGCAGTCGTGTTGGTGAAACTTCACGGGTGCAGCATCACTAGAGCACACGGTCTCCCAGCAAACTCCCTGTGCCTCTGGCTCTTCCGATCTTCCCTCCCCTTCTTCTGCAGTGGGGTCTGAGGTGCAGGAGTTATGTGGTAGATGCATCAGCCCAACATGTAACTTTACCCAGTAGAGTTTACATCGTCCCCACTGGGCCGGCTGGGTTTATGTCAACTTGACACAAGCTAGAGTTACCGGAGAAGAGGGAGCCTCAGCTGAGAAAATGCTCCATAAGATCAGGCCGTACACAGAGTGTGAGGTGTTTCCTTAGTTAGTGACAGATATGGGAGGGCCCAGTCCTTTGTGGGTGGTGCTATCCCTGGGCTGGTGGTCCTGAGTGAGATCTATGTATTTCTTGAATATATATATATATATATATATATATATATATATATAAGCCATGGGGAGGAAGTCAGTAAATAGCACCCCATGGTTTCTGCATCAGCGCCTGCCTCCAGGTTATTGCCCTGTTTGAGCTCCTGCCCTGACTTCCTTTGATAACAAACAGCGCTGTGGAAGTGTAAGTCAAATAAACCCTTTCCTCCCAATTTGCTTGTTGATCATAGTGTTTCTTTGCAGTATAGAAATCCTAAGACCCTAATCCTAACCCACCTTCCTTTATTTCTGCCTCAAACTTTGAATTTCTCTAGCCTAATGTTGCTAAAATATTAGGAAACATTGAGAGAGAAGTTATACTCACAAGAGCTGCCTCTATGCAGGATGTTCGGTATTGAAATGCATTCTGGGCCTTTTTAAGTGGGGACACGGTGTTGCTCTTATGCTTCTCTCCACATTTGTCTGTGGAAATGGAAATTCTGTGACCTCAGAAAGAGCAAGGGTGAGAAAGGAACCCCACCCACAGCTTTCCTTACGAGCTCCGTGCTCTGCTGGAGACATGGTGTCTCCACAGAGTAGCTTAAAACTCACAAAGGGTCATTCTTAAATCAAAGCCTTATCCCCATCATCACCACCGAGGGAGAGAACAGAGTTCCCTCTACCCCTAGCCAATACAGACACTTTGAAGACAAATATAATAAACACATGTAACAATAGTACAGGGCTCATGTTCCCATAGAAACTTTTACTAGAAGATTCTCAGGTGTTTTGTAAACAATGGTAAATTAGACTCCTAACATCCCCCAAGGAGGCCAAGAAATGCAGAAACACTGGCGCATGCTCACCTCTGGGCTCCCTTACAGCTGTTTAGAAACCAAACAGCACAGAGGACCTGGGACCTTAGACCACAAGGGAAGCCCTCAGGATTCTAGGAAGCAAGAGAAAACTAGATGTGGGGCAGGCTTCCGTCTTGACATGTGGATGTGATAGGAAGGGAGAAGAGAAAGATTTTTTTTCTGTCATCAGTCATCACTGCTCCCCTAGGGCTCAATCTATCCACGGCATGGCTTAGCTCCACCGGGCTTGTTGTCATCCTAGAGATAACCCCATTACCAAGCATCTTTGCCTTAAGGAATGTAGCGAAGTTTTTACACACACACACCACGAGAGAGAGAGAGAGAGAGAGAGAGAGAGAGAGAGAGAGTTTCCAGGCACTGCTAAGATTATAAGAGGTGGTAACTCAGTTTATCTTTGCAGCAACTCTTTTGGGAACCAAAACTATTATTGTAATTAATAGTATCATTATCACCACCATCATCACCATCATTACAAGTGAGGAGAGGGAGAATAGAAAGTTTAAGAAATGTTTTCAGGACAGATATGAGGGCACAGTCCTTTAATCCCAGCACCCAGAAGACAGATATAGGCAGATCTCTGTGAGTTCAAGGCCAGGCTGGTCTACATAGTGAGTTCCAAGTCAGTTAAGACTGCGTAGTGAGATTCTGCCAGAAAGACAGGGCAGGGGAGGGAGGAAGAAGAAGGGAGGGAGGGAGGGAGGGAGGGAGAAAGAGAGAGAGAGAGAGAAAGAGAGAGAGAGAGAGATAAATGTGCCCAGAGTCACCCGGCTACCTCTTAGGGTTGACATTACAGGGCAGGGCAGTGAACTTGAACACTTGCAAGCTGGCCACAGAAGTTTTTCCATCTGCTTCCCAGGAGCTGTGCACCAGGGGACAGCGCCTAGGCCTGCTTCAGCACCTTGGACAGCGTCCTCTGGGCCGTACTTAGGCAACCCAGGGATTCTGGAAGACCGGGAACTTCCAACTGGCTTCCACCTGGCTGGGCCCAGGAGCAGGCAGGGGTCAACTCGACGTATTTGTTCCTTCTTCCCTTCCTAGGATCAAGCTTTTGTGGGCAAGAACTAACTGCAGGGCTTTCAGGCCAAGAGACCAGGTCAACTCCAGCCTGGGGCCCGCTGGTTCCACTTTTCTTGTTCTCAGGCGAGCACTTCAGGTGCCTCAGGCCTCAAAGCTAATGGATTCCAAACTTGACTTCAGTTTCTCCATTGCATGTGGGCCTGCCACTCCCTTTTAATCAGCTTCCCCCAGATTCTCTTCCATGGCAATCAGGCCTTTGCCAAGGGCCACTATGTGCCTTTCTGACTGTCCTGTAAGAGAGGTAATGTGTGGTCAGGGGATCTTGAGCGAGGTTCTTAAGTCTTTTAACACCTCATTCTTTTAGTCTGTGCAATGGATGGAAACTAAATGGTGACATTATCCTGAAGCTTAAATAAGGCCATGTGATTAGAGAACATGTTTTACTGAGGAGGAAAATAGGATACAGGGCTGTCCCGGTACATGCATGCACACACACACAGACACACATACACACACACACTACCCAGGATGCTTCCCACCCAGTTTCCAAACAGCGAAAGTAACTGTACAGGCCACTGGCCTCCTGCTGGTGTTTGTTTCTCCTCTAGTCTCGACCTTCCTCTCTGATTGACACTCTTCGATTGTGACTCCCTGTGATTTTTATTGTTTATGTCACGAAAGATCACTGTGTGTGATGGACGGCGAGATATAGATCATTAGAACCTAGGAAGCCGAGCTGAGCGAGCTTTGTCTATTTCGTTTGTTGCTGTGGCCCCAAAAGACTAGAACAGCATAAAGTGTGAGCTAAGGGCTCATGAAATAGTTGTTGTGATGCTTAAAAGATTGGTAGACAGACAGATGATTGATAGCTGATAGAAAGATAAAGGATGGGTAGATGATAACCGTCAAGGGAAGAAAGGATGGGAGGTGAAAAAGAAGGAATAAGCAGACGAAGGAAGGAGGATGGAAGAGGGTGAAGGAAGAAGATCAAGGGAGGAAAGAAAGAAGGAAGGAAGGGAGGGAGGAAGGAAGGAAGGGGAGGGAGGGAGGGAGGGAGGGAGGGAGGGAGGGAGGGAAAGAGAATAGGAGAATAGAGAGGAGAAAGTCTGCTCTTGTCAACTCTCCTATCTCCCAGGTGGCTGTTCAAAGCTCAGGAGACATCTGTTCTCACTTATGTCTGTCTCTTACTGGTGTTCAGAGGGGCCCTGTGTTGAGAGAACTGCACAGCTTGACTCTAGTAATGGCCACCACTCTGCTAGTCATCCAGGATCACAGGAGCCCCTGCCAGACCATCAGCCTGAAGATACCTTGTGACCATCCTCCTGGAAGTGTGCACTGCCTTTTCCTTCTGTCTGAGTACAGAAGACAGAGCAGGGTAGGATCACAGCCCTAAAGAGCAAGCAGACATTTGCCAGTTCGGTGCAAACTACAATCGTAAGATTAGTCCCTGAAAAGCCACGCCCCTTCTAGCTCTGGAACTCAGCCTGCCACAATCTGACAGGAGGTTCCCCTGGGAAGACTGGATCCTTCCCTGGGCCACAGCAGAGGCTCCAACACTGCTAGTCAATTATGACTATAATTGTGACAATATAAATGTGCTGGGTGGGAATGGGGGGAGACATGTTCGAATCCCCCATCCCTGGCAGAGCAGCAAGTCCCCCAACCCTCACCAGCTGAGTGCAGACTTACGCATTTCAATCATCCAACCCAGGCCTTTGATTTTAGGGACAGATACCTGGAGATGGCAGGTGCTCCTGTCTCTCTGGGCCCCCTGAGTGTGTCAGCCTTGGACTCAAGACTTTAACACCCTCCCCACTTGGACTGAGCTTCCCTTCCGGTTTCTGGAGGGAATCCAGTCTGGGCTCTTCTTTGTCTCAGCAGGTGTGGTACAAACAGCAATCGCAGCCAGGCAGGGGCGCTTGTATTTCTCCCTCTTCAGGAGCTTTTCCAGTTCTCGTCTTCTTATGAGAATCTTGCCTTGGAAGCCTCCCTGGGAATAAGCAGGCGTTTTCTGAATGCCTCTAAAGATTAAGCCAATGAAATAAAAATTCATTTCTGAGACATAAACTAAATGGCCGGGCTTTTCCGTGGAGATGCTGGCGCTGTGGCAGAGGCGCAGCGGCCCTCTGGTTGACAGGAATTTGCCGCAGCGAGCCAGGCAGTCCCAAAGCCGGGCGATAGACAAGACATCATCAAATACCGCATCTGAATTCTGTTCGTATTATAAGAATGAAAAGGGTAATGTAATTCAATTGCCTGGAGAATCGGCACACACCAAGACATAAACAGAGCTGGCCAGAGGCAAAATTGCTTAGCAAGTGAAGACAGGGCCCCTGGTTTGCTTCGCTCAGGCTCTCAACGAGGCCATTTTCCTGGAGTCTGGTGTGAATTTAAGTTTTGTTTTAAATTGTATGTGTGTGTGTGTGTGTGTGTGTGTGTGTGTGTATGTGTGTGTGTGCGCGCGCCTGTGTCTGTATGCTATTGTGTGCATGTGGGGGCAGGAGCCTTTGGAGGCTCGAGGCATCAGACCCCTTAAAATTGGAGTCAAAGGTGGTTGCTATGAACCACCCAATGTGGAAACTGGAAATTGAACTTGGATCTGCCACCAAAGCAGTAGGCAGTCTTAATCGCCCCTAAGCTATCTCTACAGCCTCTGGTATGGATTTAAATTGGCATGCTACCCTTCCCAAAGGAGGGTGCTTTATAAACACATACCAAGTTTGATACTGAAAGCATTAAAAACTTACATATAGAGTTGGTAAGATGGCTCCATCAACAAGGCTCTTTCCCCAAAAGCATGAGGACCTGAATCTGATCTCAAGGACCAACATAACAAGTTTGGGCGTGGTGGTGTGTGCTTGTAATCCCAGAGCTGGGGAGACAGAGACAGGCAGGTACCTTGTGCTTGATGGCCAGTCAGGCCAGCTTCCTTAGCAAGTTCAAGGCCAGTAAGAGATCTTGTCTCACAAATAGGTGGACAACAAAACCCACTATCAACTCCAGGTCTCTGCACCCATGTGCACACACATGCACATACACCCACGTGAATCGTCACACATACACATAAGTTTTTAAAAGAAAAACGCACATGTATCAAACATCTACCATGAACCAGCACTTCTTCATAAATATAGTCAGTCAAATAATGCAGTTTTCATTCTTTCAAAAAGCACTTATTGTCTACTGTGGGGATGTACAACTGTAATTCCTGCACTTGGAAATAAGTAAGCCTTGGGAAATATCTACGAGAAAGATAAGAAAGATATTGCAGGGCGGCAGAATAGTAGCAAGCGCAAAGGTCCTGGGAACTTGGTATGTTTTGAGAAGAATAAAGGGAAAAGATGTAGGAGAGAAATGGAGATATGCATAAAGCGAAAGAGGGGAGGCTCATGGACTGGGTGGGTTGCCACGCTGGAAATAAAACTAAACATCTGAGGAAGCTTTGGGAAGCCCGAGCAAACAAGCCATGCTTCTCCGTTTGGCATTCAGACACATTGGTGCTGCCACCTGTGTAGGTGTAACTCTGTGGGGTGTGTTTATGAACCTACCCTGAAGATGGGGAAACTGAGGCAAAGAAAGGAGACACGGTTACCGAGGGTAATGGAGCCCCACAAGCTACCTGCTGTAGAGCACTGGCTGCACAAGCTACCTGCTGCAGAGCACTGGCTGTCTCAGATATCACAGGCTTATGTGTCTCCACATAATAAAAATCCCTGCTCTGCATCTAGGAAACAGCTGGATTCCAGAGGTGGAAATCTCTTGGTCCTTCCATTGGGAGTACTCTAAGAGGGAATAAGAATAGCCAGTCCTCGGTAGCTCTTCCATGGGTGCTATGATGTTCTACCTTCTCCCACACAACCTGTGCCTGTTCTCAGATCAGCTGGTGAGGAAGCTGCTGCTGGCATTCTGTCCAACACGTGAGAGCAGGTGCAGCTGTGTGTTCAGGTCCCTGTGTGGGCCCGGGTTGTGGCCCCCAGCATTTTGAGTTCCTAGAGTTCCTCCTTCCTCTTGGGTTTGCTCCATCTGTTTACCTGAAAGATGGAACTGGAGTCTGGAGACTGAAGCTCACATGATTGGCACCTATTTAAACCGCCTATATAAACTCAGTGGTACCGCAGGGTACCAGGGAGGGTCCGTGCAGGGACTGCACCTCTCTCAAGAGTGCTGCAAGGGGCTTCCTAGACAGGGTGGAAGTCAGCTGAGGTGACCTTAGGCTACCCATCTCTCCCTGAGGAGCTAACAAAACCCCACCATGGACTTTAGCCTTGTCTATCTGTGCTGGAAGTGCCCCGGGCATGGGGAGAGGTTGACCAGGCTGGAGAAAAAAAAAAAAAAAACACTAGCTCCAATCCCACATGATGGATGAGAGATGTTCCCAGCCCTCCTTCATCATCTCCAGCCTGAGGGGAAAGAGGTCCCTAGAAGCCTATATAGAAAGGGCAAGGATGGAAACAGGGTAGGTAGATAATAGGAAAGAGGAGTAGGTGGAGGAAGATATGGTCACCCAGACATGAATGGAAATAGAAATGCACCCCTTAAGGAAGAGGCAAAATCGAGGGCTGCTAAGAGACGCTACAGGATCAGGACCCAAGTCCTTCACTGTTCTCAGGCTCACCCACCTAACCTGCCTGCCTCAGCAGTGCGTACTCAGTTGCAGGAGCTGGTGACCCTTCCCACCTCAGTAGGCTTGTCCTGCTTCACTCTGTGCCCCGCCTGATCAAAGCATCCTGCAGCGGCCACAGTAGCCTCTTCTCTACTGTGAACTCTGCCCTTAGGTGCTTTTCTGTACAGTACATCAGGTTGGCCATGCAAACTTGATGTTGAGGAGGTTTGAATGAGGATGGCACCATAGGCTTGTTGATTTGAATGTTTGGTTCCCAGTTTGGGGAAGGATTAGGAGGTGTGGCCTTGCTGGGTAAAGTTTCAAAGGCCCAGTCTTCCTTCTCTCTCTCTCTCTCTCTCTCTCTCTCTCTCTCTTTCTCTCTCCTCCCTCCCAACTTTCGGATAAGATGTGAGTGAGCTCTCAGCTACTGCTCCAGCACCATGTCTGCCTGCTGCCATGCTCCCCACCATGGTAGTCATGGACTCACCCTCTGAAACTGTAAGCCAGCCCCCAATTTAATGCTTTCTTCTATAAACTGTCTTGGTCATGGTGTCTCTTCAAAGAACTAGAACAGTGACTAAGACAGATGTCATCATTCCCATTTTGTGCATGAGATGACCAGAGAAGGGAAGTGACTAGCCCACTGTCACACAGCTCTATAATCACAAGGTCTGTGGGCCAAATTTGGAAACTCTTGACCTGGAAATAGAAACTCAGTCTCTTGACCTTAGGTGCTTCCCTATCTACTCTACCCACACTGAGCTGCCGGGGGGCTGGCACGTTTTTCTCAGCCAATTTTTACATCTTCAACAACACCCAGTTGGTGCTTAGTAAATATTGATGGAAATGACTCAGGGGTGAATAAATGGAAAGCTGCATTAGGAGGAACTGGAGTCTATAAATATGCTCGTGGGCACCACATTGCCAGGGCTGATGCTGACAATCCTGGGGAACTGAGCATTCATTCAACAAACTTTTTAAATGCTTATTGAAAAATCTGCCACATGCCAAGCAGGGGGTGAGGAGCTGGAGGTGCATGAGGAGCAGAGCCTTGCTGCCTCCTGACCTCGAGGAGTTACAGAAAAGGAAGACCAAAAGCCAACAGCAACAAGATTGACTGCAAAGAAAGAGACAGCAAGAAATTATCAAAAAGTGACCAGGGCTGGGGGCAGAGCCCAAAAGTGCCGGCACTGCTCAGCAAGTGCCAAGGCCTGGAATCCACCTCCGGTACCAAAGGAGGAAGGAGAGGAGGAAGATGAGGAAGAGGTGGTGAGGAGGAGGGAGAGAAAGGGAATGGATGAGAGGAGGAAGAGGAGGAAACAGCAGGAAGAAGGTGAAGGAGGAGGAAGAAAAGGCAGAGGAAGGGATTGGAGGGGATGAAGGCACAATATGGACTTTGAGAGAAAAGGTATGATTGGATGGTAAGATCCAGGGACGTGTGTGTGTCTGTGTCTGTGTGTGTGTCAGTGTGTGTCTGTGCGTGTGCATGAGTACACACTTCCACTCTCCACAGCATGTGTGCAGAGGTCAAAGACAAAGTCTGTGAGCAAACTCCTTCCACGTTTACATGGGTTCCAGGGATCGAACTCAGGTCACCAGGCTATGAGACAAGTGCCTTTACCCACAAAGCCATCTCGCTGATCCTCAAATAAAAAACTGTCTTAAGTTGAGTAGAAGTCACCGAGGCATAAAGTTGGGGGAAAGCATTTGGGGCAGGAGGACTGTCATGTGTTATGTTGAAGCCTTAAGAGGAACAAGTGCTTGGCACCTTCAAATGGCTACTATAAAAACAGTGTGGCCAGAGCAGAGTGGGGAGATGGGAAGAAGTAAAGGAGGGGTTAGGGCCCAACAAACGCAGAGCATTGTTGTGTTTGGGGTTCAAGCCTAATTCAGCAGGAGGTCTTTGAAAAATAGGAGGCAGGGAGATGAGCCATTTCAGTCTTCCTGTTGAGTGGACAATGAGAAGACATGGCAGATGCTGGAGGAGGCAGAGCCTCCTGATTCCAGCCTTCTCAAGTCTCCCAGATGGAGCCACTGAGATCTGAGATCTCTCCTGCAAGCAGGCTATTGAACAGGCAATGCATCGTTCCCCCAGGGAGGAAAGACTGTGTGGATGTGTGGTGGGTGTGATCTTAACCTCCCACCCACCTTTACTGGTAATATGATTTGAGGCAGCTCACCCACCCTCGTCAGGAACATAGATACAGTAGAGCCCCCCCCCCCCCAGAGAGGAGGTTATCACACAGGCCATGCACGGAGCTGAAACTCTCCCAAGCAAGCCGCTCTCCCTCAGCCACCTCCAGATACAGTCTGACCTCCCTCTGCCTCCTGATTTCTGACCTCTGTGGTGTCAGGAAACACTTTCAAGAAAATG